CCACCAACACATCTACACACACTCAGAAAGTTTTGCCCTTATTAGACACAACTTAAAACATTTACAATAATGGAAAAAAAAACACGAAGAAGAGTTATGTGAACGTACATTTTTGTGTGAAAGTTTGTCAGATTCATTAGCTCAAAACAACAACAATAAAACAAACAATATAAAACTATTTTCTGCAATACTCCACTAATATGTTGAATGAGTTCGCTTTTGATTTTTGGGTCACATTAAAAGATAACCTGTATTACTGCTGTCTTGACTTTGCAAAACAGTAAAAAAGAAATGACTTTTTCAAAAATCAGTCACGGTTTTAGTTATTTAAAGTAACAAAAACAGAAATGCGCCATTAAATATATGCACAAACTTTGATTTGTTTATCTCAGAAACAGAAAAAAAGGACTAAAAACATCTGAGAAAATGATAAATAAATGAAAATCAATCCATAAAGCGGATGACAGCAACTAATCTGAATCGCTGCTTATAGGCAAACTCATTTAGCTCGGCCAATGTAAGCATTATTTAAAAGAAAAACTCATTTCCCTGAAAATGACATTTACTAACTGAAGATAATTGCAGCTGACCCTTGCAGATCTTTTAATTTCACACCATAAAGATGATACAAAGGACATTATTAAGAGAAATGCCGAAGTTTCCTTTGATCGCTCAAATTGTAAACGGCTCGTGGAAATTGAGTTCCTTGAGTTTCCGTTGCCACAGTGAGGCAAAAAAGAATGCAAAAAATACAAAAAAACAGGAGGCATAAACTCAGAACACAAACCATTCCCATAAAAACCCAAAGCGCCGCGGCTCCACAGATCCTTCTGATGATTTAAACTCTTTTCTCGATGGTAATGTGGTCTTCAGCAGATCATGAATCATCACTGCCGCTGAGACAACTGTGGGAGATTTATGCACTCCATGTGAGAGCGCAGCGATGCGCCGAGCTCTTGGCGTGACGCCTGTGTAAACATATGTTCCTGTGTTTACACGCAAACACGATGAGTGTAATTAGTGGCCTAACCCAATCAATGTGTGTATAATTACAGTCATTAGTGTCAAAGCCAAGCGGCCATGCTCTCTAAACCAGCCAATAAACTACCCGGTTTCCTCCCTGCTTCACTCTCGCTCATCTTTCTTATTTACTGCTCTTATTTGCTCGTAAATTTTATGCAAGACTTGACTCCCTTCTTACGCCGTCGCTCTTCTTATCGCCTCTCGCGGTTTCTCTGTCACTTTTTTTGCTCCCTGTGTTTGTACAAATCCTCTGCTGTGATCACTGGGAGCTCTTAATTGGAAGCACATCATTAGCCGTGCGACTGATGAAGCCCGRTGCTTTATGAGTGCCCCCCACCCACCCCCACTCTCACCCACCCCACACAGCTTGTGTCAGACACCGAGTCAGTGTTGCCAGAAGCAAACAGCATCAGTCTCTGTTTTCACTGCTTTGAGCGTTTCCATATAAGCAGGGTTTTTTTTCTTCTTCTCATATTTTTCAAGTACTAATTACGCTTCAAATAACTGCAAAGATTCTAACAAATCATTTCCTTCATTTGTTACAGAAATGTTTAATCTTTTTCCCTGTTTTGGAGAGAAAGTCCAACGAATTGAAATATAATTCATTGTGCACGTCTGGCACAAACACTCAGTGGGACAGAAGCTATTTGTTTGTAATATTAAAAAAAAGATGTTTGTCTGAAGCAGTGATTTTATTGTATAATCAGAATTTCAAGAAAATATATGGCCATAAAACAAGTGATTTTAAGGACATGTTGACACAGAGAGAATAAAAGGATGAATGAATGATCTGGTCTACCACATACTGTATGCATTATAGGATTTTCTTTTTATTGTTTCCGAGATACATGATTTTTTTTTATTTTCCTGGAAAAAAAAAAGTAAAGTCTTTATCTCTTTGTCTTTGTGGAATACATTTTGACAGAATGAACCTTGTTTATTCAGCAAAGGAACATCTAGCAAGTTGATTCCTCCTGAAAGTTCAATTTGCTCTGCATTTAGTATTCAATAAAAGAAAACACACACACACACACACACACACACACACACACACACACACACACACACACACACACACACACACACACACAC